CTGTCCCTAAATATCGCGGAAAATGCTTTGGACGTTTCAATTCCATCTTTGGTCTTTAAGGGCATGGCCCACGCGTACTTGCTCAACACATCGATAAGGATTAGAATGTAGTTGTAGCCGCCGTTGGATCGCGAGTATGGCCTCATCTCGACAATGTCAGCCTGCCACAAATCATCGTATCCTTTCACGACGACTGGCCTATGCGTAAAGCTTCTTCTCGCCGGTGCGTGGAGCTCGTCCACGAGCGATCTCCACTCCAGGCTCACCGCTTCCTTCTTGCTCATTGCAATTCGTTTTGCTTCCTCATCGCCTCATCGTAGTATTCTATGAAATTTTTTCTCATAGCTCTACGAAGATTGAGAATCTCTCGCTCGACAAGACTCTTCGTCTCTTGCTCGCGATCAACGAGTTTTCCATCGAGTCGCGCTACACTCTCGTCGAGGAGACCTCTCAGATCGTGAATCTGTCGTTCCAACGTCACGTATCTGGTCTCGATGTATTCGCCGTGGTCCCTCTTCCAGGTCCGCTCGGTATTCTCCGAATCTTCGAGTCGCGAAAGTACTTCTCGCTTAAAATTTTCATGGAGCATACGATCTCGATTGGCACGATTGCTCAAAAGCTGGAAGTGATGATCCAGCTGCAGCTTGTTGACGGCGTCGGTGTCCGCTTCAAGGTCGGCGAGATGTCTGATTACGCGTGACTTGGCGTTGAAAACCTCACCATCCTTGCAGAGACAATTCTCGCGCACGTAATTCTTCGAGACTCCGCCGCTCCATGATCCACGTCTCGTCACCCTGTCGCTTCCCTCTAGCTGTAGTCCGAATTTGTTGATAGACATTCCTGTAGCATCGCACGAGCAATACTGGTTACAGCGGTGACAACGACGATCAATTTATAATTAGACCAGCTTCGCGCAGTTCCTCGATAATCGAGAGAAACTCGTTGTCGTGCGCGTTGTTTCCCGCCTGACGAGAGGCGTCCAGCAATCGAAGGCGATCCACCAATTTGTTCGGATCATCTCAGTGCACGTAATCGACCGCGTTATCGGTCACAGTCATGGTCTGTGGTATGTTACACTTGGGTAACGTGCGACCCGCACCTCTCTTGTCGAGATGTGCAACACCTCCACCTTTCTTAGATATCAGAGGTGTGATGATATGTTTGTATTTGTATCTTTTGTTTCCCAAAATAGGTAAATGCGCGTTATGACCGCGTCTGTGAGCGTTAGTAGCGAGTAGTATGCTCTTGTACTTTTGTTTGTCATCCTCCGTACACAGCGTATCGTCGGGAAGTCTTTTAAATATTAATTCAAACAGGCCGGGCGTGCCCGCGTATTTTACACCGTCCACAATCAAATTGTCGTCTCTATCAATGTCGAAGGCCTTGTCTCCGAGAAACGTTCCCGCATCGTTGAAGTATACGCCGTACACGTTGTCGATCCCTCTCTTCTTGTCACCGCTCAAGAGCTCCCCGATGTACTCTTGGCTCAGCTGACCCATTTGATCATACAGAGCTTCCTGATCTTCGAACGTTTGCATTGTCTCTCGCAAGGATGTCACGAGAGAGGGATCCGCGCTGTGTCGGTTTCATTCGACCTCATCGGGCTTTCGAACGCTAATTTTTGCGGTTGGAGCGAGGTATCCGGCTTTATTCGTTTACCCATTGGTATGGTGCTGTGCAGCACTGTGCTCCATCGCTTTCGATTCTTCTTCTTCAACTCCGGTGTAGATGGCTCTTCGATAGGATCATCGTTTCCGGTATTCTGAACGATTTGTTTCAACGGCTCTACGATCGGTTT